AGTAGTTTGTAGAGAGGAGGAAATGAACCCCAAGAAAGAAAGGGAAAAAATGCAGGCAAAGCCCATTTTCCAGAGAAGGCCCCAGCATCACCTTCCCTCTCCTGTTTACAGTTTATTCTGTCTTCAGGTAGTGAAAGCATCTGTTGCCTTTCTTCACAATTTATTCCTAATGTGTGGTTTGTTTTTAATGCACAATTGTGTGCCTTGGAGTCACAGCCTCATTAGTGAATCCCTTGTTCTGTTGGCATTTCTGAAAGGAGTCATTCATCCCGCCCCCCCCCAAAAAAATCATGTAACAAAAAGTGTTAGTTACTGTGAAATTCTCATAGAACCAATAACACCCTTCCTGCTACTGGGTCCCTTTATAAAACACACATAGCACATATCCCATGTGCCTCCTGTGGTATATCTGTACATCAGGCATTTGGTCTAACTTTTGGGGGAAGATTTTGTAACTGAGAGTCTAGCAGGATATTATTAGCTTACTTAAAGCATTAGTAGTTGGTAATATGCTGTCGGAGATATTTTTAATGCCTGGCATAGTGGCACACAGCTTTGATCCCAGCACTGAGGAGGCAGAGGCAGGATGGTCTCTGAGTTCCAGGCCACCAGGGGCTACAGGATGACCCTGTCTCAAAAAAGATTGAATTGATTTATTATTAACATGTATTTTATATATATAATATGCTTATCATTGAAGTGCCTAGTGAAGTGAAATTCAGATAAATCTTTCATTTGGTTGTCATGAAGCAGTAGAAGAAAAGGTAAGAGAACTGGTCAGGAGTGAAGGGAGGCTGGAAGGGGAACAAAGAGCGACTGGTAGGCTACTGTGTTTTGTGGCTGCATTGTCCCAGGCTTTGGAGAATCAGGAAGTTGATCTTTGAATTTCTGACTTTTTAGTCACCAAAGTTTTATCTCAAGATGCAAATGCAAACCACATGCAAATCCCATAACCTCCTATGATCAAGGATGTGCTTTGCTTGCTGCATCCTTCCCAGAAGCTGTGGTGCTTCATCCCTTTTGCTCTGCATTCAGACTTGCTGTCAGTTCCCTCCCACACATGCCTTTGAAGCACTGAACCTGAGCCAGTATTGAATTGTGTGCTGCAGCTTGGTCCACACTCTAATGAGAAGCATCCCCAATCCCATGTGACATGAAGGTCTACTTGATTTGAGCATCCTTTTCTGAAATAGTTAAACTGAGAAGTCATTCCATTTTTAAAATGTGTGAGAAATAGAGCTTCTTTTTTTTTTTTTTTTTTTTTTTTTTTGAGACATGTCTTCCTGTAGCCTTGTAGCCAAGCTGTCCTGGAACTCACTATGTAGAACAGGCTGGCCTTGAACTCACAGAGATCCTCCTGCCTCTGCCTCCCAAGTGCTGGGACTACAGGCGTGCACCACCACACCCGGCAGAGCTGCTTTCTACACAGAATTGCTATTTAATTGAAATGAGCAAATACCCATCCTCAGAGAACATCTTGAAGCAGCCTGAGCCAGTGGCTCTTATAGCACCCTCTGTGTCTCTTACTTTCTTGCCTGTGTTTGTGCTGTTGTTACCACCCTAATCTACCAGTGGATTCTTCAAAGAAGGCAAAGGTTCTAGCCCATTTCACTGGCATGTTGTCAATTCTAGAATAAATACTGGGATGAATGTTTAAATAGCACAAGGAAATGAAATTAACAGTTTTCAGTCTGGGCAGAACTTTTTAACATCTCTACTCTTTCACACTAGAACATAGATTTTTAATAATAAATGTCATTTGAGTTCAGGTGGTATAGTTTATTCAGTTTTACTTCTCAAACTTGGTCACGCCTGAGATCAAAAGTAAAAAGAACTAGAATTCACATAATTTATTTCTACAGACTTTCTTAATGCTCTGCAGGTGATCACCACCTCCTTAGTCCTCACCTGCCTAATCACTCCAACATCTCTGCCCACTCTCATCATGCACTCGGTATCCATGATGTTTAATTGGCACTGGTGGTTTAAGAGGAAACAGGGGCATGTAGAGATAAGGACCTAAATTCAAGCTGAGCACAGAAACTGGGTTATTAAAAAATAATTTTAGGGAGCATATTAAAATCAGAGCTATGATTGATATATGTGCAGTATGAAATGTAATTCTGAGGCTTGAGGCAATTGTTGGGGAAATTGCTCTGGACTAATGACATTTAAGCCTAATCGTAAAGGTTCAGATATGAGGGACAGGTATAAGCATCATGGAAGTGGCGCTGATAAGGAAAAGCTTGGGAGCATGCAGATACAGAAATGACAAGTGTGGGGACAGGCAGCCCAGGGGATACATGCCTGTGGAGGGCCTTGAGACAAGACTTGTGGGCCAAGGGGACTCAACCATTGTGTGCTCTTCCCCTTAGGGATTTTATGACCATTTTTCCCTGTCATCACTACTTCTTTCTTTCCTGATATTATACCTACTCCCTCACAAGCTGATTCATTTGTTTAGAATAAAGTCTTCAGTTTGGATTTGAAATGTACTAAAGATCCAGGAAGTTCAAAACCACCACCCTGCAGACCTAGCCTGGCTAGGCATTGTGGTTCTAGTTGTGTTACTTGACAGATCCACAGTGTTTATCTCATCTCTGTTACAAGGAAAAGTGACATCTTTATGTATAAAGCTATCCTATATATAGTACTATCTACTAGTTTACCAAAATGAGTGGGGACTAGGAAGGCAACTGAATTTGTACACCGAAGACTTTTCATGTTTAACCCTTTTTAGGCTTTCCATTTTCTTTGCCAAGATAAGCACACAACTTGAAGTCAAGAGAACCACCTTTCTCTTGGGCTGCTGAAATGCTCCTGCTTGGTCTTTCCATTTGAACCCACTGCAGTACATCCACAACTGTGCGATTGTTTGTGCAACAGGAGCTTGGCCAACCTTACAAAAACCATTCTTTGGAATTTTACAAAAATGTCATTCTTGGCACCTAAACTGAGAACCATTTGTGCATACCCATCATTTTCCATTTATAAATCCAGTTTAATTAGATAGTAGTTTATGAACAGTGTCCCATTTTTCAGTTTGATTTGAAATAGCAGATAGCGGACGTGCGCATTACCTTCATGTCTCAAGCATTTATGCTTACTCATTCACATGCGTCCTTTAGCAAAGCTGAGTATAGAAGGTGTGGGAGGCAGGCAAGCCACCTGGGGGAAACCCAGGGCTCCCTTGGTTCATTGCTGCCACCTGCTGGGGCCTGTTTGCTGGAATGGGAAGGCTATCCAAGGGACCAAGGGACCTTCTAAGCAACCCAGGTATAGCTCCAGTGTTTATCAGCTGTTACATTTCTGGATGGCAACCAACCCCTCGCTGTATGACTTATGCACCATTACTCCAAATCAGGGTAAGAAGGAATTTCACTATTTGGTATCATGTAATGTCCTGGTGAGGTTCGGAGAACTCAGCCTATTAAGGGCTCAAAGATCCTGGAGTGTCAGAGCTACAAGAACCCTTAAAGAAAATATTGTGGAATTTTAAAAGTAGTTAAATGAATAGGTAGGGACTTGTCCAAATGCAGACTCTTCCTACCTAGCATGGTGGAGTATGCACATTATTACCAGCACTCAGGAGACACCAACAGGAGGGTCACAGGTTAGAGACCAGCCTGGTCAGCTTAGCGAGACCCTGTCTCAAAAAACAGTAGACACACACACACACACACACACACACACAGACGCCCAAAGTGGGGTTGCTCAAGATCCCCACACAATTCTAATGCAGAAGCTTCTCAACTGTTACAATTAATAATATTATCTCTTCCTACAATGAGATGAGTATCTTAATACTATAACTGGTTCTTTAAAGCATACATATAAAAGTTATTGCTGATTGGTTTGTTCTGTAGCAGAAAACATCACTTGTGAATAACTTTCCTTTTTAAAAAATATTTTTATGATTTTTTTAATGTGTATGAGTGTATTGCCTGTATATGTGTAAGTGCACACATGTCGTACAATGCCCAAGGAGGTCAGAAGAGGTTATCGGGTCCCATGGAACTGGAGTTATGGATGGATGTTAGCTGCCATTTGGTTCTGGGATTTGAACCTAGGTCTTTTGCAAGAGCAACCAGTGCTCTTAACCACTGAGCCATCTCTCCAGCCCTGACTTTCCTTTCTTGTCTAAGAAGGAAGTACTTGAGTTGGTCAGTTTATGGTGGGATGTTTCAGGTCTTGGGCGTTGGAAAGCAAAGGCAGGGTTAGCATTACAGTTGACATAGTCGTCATTTCCATGAATCTAGTAATCATTTGGTAAACTATCAGGGTCATAAAATTCCATAATATGGGCTCCTGGGGAAGAGCCAACCACAAGAAACCTGCACCCCCATGGTTCTATCATGTCTCTCCCTATCTTGGCAATCTTGGCCAACACACAAGTAATAGGAAGTACAGATACTTTTCCTTACTGTACAGGAAAAAAAGTAGCTTGATACATGGGTTTGAAAGCCCATTTTAGGCTGAGTGTGGTGCTATGCACCTTCAATCCCTGCAGTTAGTGGAGCCAACTTGTCTACATAGCAGGTTCTAGGCCAGCTATGGCTGCATAGAGAGACCTTGTCCCAAAAGAAAGACCCATCTTAGAAGTGAGAATTCTAGATACCTGTAGTGTGCTTGCTTCATTAAATATAATTTTCCCATCCTTCAAATATTTGTATAAGTACTACTGCTTCTGAAACGACTGATTCCAGTCTGACCATGAACTGAGTCCTTGAGGCCACTGAGCTCAAGAGCAGATTGCCTTTGGTCTGCTCCATCATGTAAATAAACTTCAATTGAAGCACTAGTCATTTATAGCATTTTCCTCTAAACTTTTTTCTTTAATCTGGCAAGTTGTTGGCATTCTAGACTTCTAGCCCATTGATGCTAATGACCATGTTTAATAGGGTTATGTATTGCTTGTGTATAATCAAAAAACAGTTTATTGAATTGCTTTATTTCCTGCCTTCCTAACATCTCTCGAGTTTTTTGTTTTTGGTTTTTAGGGATATCTGAAAGAAATCTTGAAAGAGATCGGTATTCAGAATGTAAAAGGGATCCACAAAAATACGTGGGAGCTGAAGCCAGAGTACAGGCATTACCAAGGAGAAGAAAAGAGTGACTGAGAACACTACCAGCATGTGACAGAAGAGCTAGAGTGGGCACTTGAGCAAGCCGCTCAGTAAGAGAACATGAAAGCCATGTGAGAATTGGAGGAAAATAACTGTGTCTTGAATTTCTTAGTAAATTTTTTAAAGCTATAAGTCCATAAAGTTTCCTAAGTGTTTTTTGAGAAGAAAAAATATTTATATTCTAAACATATATATTAAACCATATGATTCAGCAGGACAGTCTGGCACATGCATTTGTCCCAACACTTGGGAGGCTGAGACAGGAAGCCTTCTGGAATACACAGCAATGTCCTGTCTCAAAAAAAGAGAAATTATGAATAATATGAATAAGGGTTTGGGAATTAATGGCTAACAACAGTTCCAGAGGAATCCAATGCCCTCTTCTGGCCTCTGCAGGTACTACATGTACATGGCTACCATACATGCAGGCAAAACACTCCTAACACAAAATAAAACAACTGAAAATTAAATGCATTTCCAGAAATTCAAGCTCTTTCACCAGCTCCTCAGAGATTGACCTTGCCTCCAGAATTGCGTTCCCCACCCAGCAGGAAGGGGTTGACCTTCAGCTGTCACATGACATTGTCAATTAAATAAGGGTTGTCTGGGTACACCTGAGACAGGAAGTGTTAATGTCATTTCCCAGGACATGAAATACTCTTGAAGCTTCTTAGATTGATTTGGGTGGAGGCAGTACATATCCATGATGAATTTCTTTTTGTCCTTTTTTTTGAGACATGGTCTCCCTATAGCCCCAGCTGGCTAGATGTAGACCAGGCTGGCCTTGAGCTCACAGAGATCTGCCTGCCTCTACCTTTGCCTCTGTCTCTGCTTCCCAAGTGCTGGGATTAAAGGTGTGCGCCACCATGCCCAGCATATGATGAATTTTTTAGGGACAAAATGTCACATACTAGGTAATCCAAAATCATACCCACAGATAAGACCTCCAAAGCAAAAGATACTCAGCAAATTAAGCAACATGAAAGGTTGCTTAAAACAGGTGTATGCGTTATCATCTGCTTCTGGATGCTTACAGCCAAGCAGTGGTAGCAGATGCCAAAAATGTAAGAAAATCTTGTATAATGAAAGCAAGGAAATAATTATCCCTTGAAAGAAGGAATTTCCCATATTATTTGCTTCGAACAGAAAATCGCCAAAATACTGAGGTTTCGTGACTTTTTTTTTTTTTTTTTTTTTTTTTTTTTTTTTTTTTTTTTGCTTTTATCTTTTTGAGATAGGGTCTTCCTGTAGCCTCAGCTGGCCTAGAACTCACAGAGCTCTGCCTGCCTCTGCCTCCCAAAGTGCTGGGATTAAAGGTGCTTGCTACTGTACCTAACTTGTGACATTTCTTTAAGAAAGATATAGTTCTGTTTAAGAAGCCAGGTGCCTTTAATCCCAGCACTTAGGAGGCCAGCCTGGTCTATGTAGCAAATTTCAGACAAGCTGGGGCTATAGAGAGATCCTGTCTCAAAAAGGCAAAAAAAAATTCTGTTTAAGGAAGGTGGTCTCATACCCCCATCCTCTCTCAACTGTCTTTCCTGCCTCATTCTGGTGCAAATGTGACCTGGCCCTTGCCTCCACTTCTTTTTTTGTTGTTTAATCTTTTATTTATTCTTTGACATTTCCATACACATGTATATTGATCACATGCCCCCCCCCAACTATCCCCCACCTCCACTCTCCACTTCTTGATGGCTGGAAGCCTGATGTCCAAAGCCCATGGGGTGATGGCATGGAACTACAGAACTGAGAGGTACCTACCGTGTACTTGGTGTATTATGTAGTGTGTCTTCCCCTAGAATTTGCCCTTTTTTGCTGTACAGTTCTCCCCTAAAACACAAGAATGCCTCATCGGCCCATGTTTACTTCTGTAGATGTCTGTAATATCACGATCTCATTAATAGAGTGCTAAGTTAAAGGATATACTGGGCTGGTCTCTTGACATTAAGCCTTACCTCTGATTACCATTCCAGTGTCTGTATCAGAAACAGCCCCTGCTAGTTACTTTCTCTTTCTTCAGTCAATGAAAAGCCTGATTCTGGAGCAACTGGACTTCCAAGAGGCAGTACAGTCTAGAGTATACAGCCCTGTGTGGGCATACAGGTTCAAGAATGCAGTAAATACAAGAAAGGGATGAGCAGAGCCCTTTTAAAGCTGTTGAATATAGTCTGCTGCCCACCTACACTCTAGACAACCAGTAATGCCACCCCTAGGACACAGCTGAGAAATTTAGTCAACACTTGGCCACATGTTCAAAAGACATCTCTGTCAGAGGCAGACATCCAAAGAAACCCACTATGACATGACCCTACTCATAAGCACTTTAGAAGTGATCACTGATCTTTAATAATGATGCTAAAAGGGAGAAATTTATATGTGGAATATATTTGTAAAACACAAGATTTGTATCCAGACTATGTAAAGATCTCCCAAAACCCATTAACCAAACAAATTACCCAATTAAAAATGAGTAATAAATATAAATATACATTTCTTCAAGAAGGGATGGATGTTCAGTAACATGTGAAATACTGCCCAATAATCAGTGGTCAGTAGAGAAATACAGATTAAGACCACAGAAGCGTCATGCAGCGTGCCTGCTGGTATGGCTAAAACCATTCTACAGAAACCTGACAGTATCAAGGGCTGATGAGCATGAAGAAGCAGCCGAAACCCTCGGTCTCTGTCTGTAGCATGCAGAATGTTGAAGGTTCTTTGGAAAACAGTTTAGAAGTATCTCCTAAAGTTAAATGTACCACCATAGAACCCAGCAGTCTTACTTCAAAAATGAAGATACATGTGTGTTCAAAATCCTATAACAGCTTTTATCTCAATCAACAAAATCTGGAAACCACTCACATGTACACCAACTTCTGACTAGGTCACACTGCCATAGAGTCATACAACAGAGTACTTCCCACAATGAAAATGAAGGACCCCATGATGCACAAGAGTTGGATGCATCTCCAGTGCATTCTGCCAAGTAAGAGAAGCCAGACTCAGGCAGTCACTTACAGTATGCTTCCATTTAGAACACATTCTGCAAAGGGCAGAGCTGCAGAGCTACAAGCAGGTCAGTATTTGCCTGGGGTGCACTGAAGGGCTTACTACAAGACAGACTTTCTGGGATAATGAAATCTTGATTGTATTGGTGACTATGGTATAAATTAAAATTTGATCTTACTGGGCATGGTGACGCCTACCTTTAATCTCAGCATTCAGGAAGCAGAGACAGTCAGATCTTTCTGAGTTTAAGACCAGCCTGGTCTACATAGCAAGTCCCAGGCCATGCACTTACGGGGATTAAAGGTATGTGCCACCATGCTAGGCAATTTTTAACAACTGAAAGAACCTTGAAGAGGAAGGAGCTAAGAAAGTAATGTTTGAGATAAGCATTTAGGGGTACATATAAAGGGATGCAGAAATAAATGGACCTGCAGGAGAGGATGGGTGATGCTACAGAGCCCCATGGAGAATAGTCATCGTCTAGACCTCAGGGGCCTGTGCAGTGCCTGGCCTCCTGATTTCAGACACATGAAACTCATCCTATCTGTTAGAGCTGGGCCTTTGCCACATGGGGAGTCTCTAGGCAAGACCATATAGCAAAGTCTTCTCTAGACCAGATTTGAAGCAGAATCAAAACCAGGAGGATGTTAGAAATTAGCTTCACTGATCTCCCACACAGCACAAAGATAATCTTTTCTGTTTACCAGCCTCTTCCCCAGCCACCTCCACTAAACCAGGACAAGCTTCTCTATCCTCTGTTACTGGTGACAATAACAGTTTAAATACCCAGTATAAATGTTGGATGTCTCAGAGCAGGTGAAACACTGGCTCTAACGTCCCTGCTTCTTTTCTAATGTACATGATACCCTCACCTTAACACACATGCTTATTTTTAGGAGGAAATCACCCAGTTGAGTCCAATAGAAAAGAGCCATTTTAACTATTATTTAAAGTAATCTTGTGGTCAAGGGACATAGATCAGTGGTAGAGTGTATGCTTAGCACATGTCAAGCCCCGAATTCAATTCCAAGCACTCCCAGCAGTAGTCTGGTGGCATGTACTTGTAGTCCTAGCTACTTGGGAAGCTGAGGGGAGAAATTTACTTGAGCCCTGAAGTTCAGGGCCAGCCTGGGTGGCACAGAGAGACCCTGCCTCAAAAAGCAAACAAAAGTCACCCTAGTTTTCTTTGCTGTATCTGCCCAGGCGACTCATTGGCATCCATTTGCAACGTGAGCATGTGCAACTTGAGGAACTCACACGTGGGAGTGTTTCATTTCAATGTATTAAGCTTGCAGGCTAAGGCTTGTGTGGCTTTCCGACAGATCTATGTAGGTGGTTAACAGAATGTGATCTCAGAGCTGGCTGTTTGACGTTGTTAAGGTTCTTCTTGCCAACGCTGTCTGTGAGTGATGAAGTTTTCTTTTTGAAATGGATAGAGAGCTTGGTGAGTAATGACTCCCTCCCTCCAGAGTTGCATTTGAACAGGAAAGACCTCTTGCAGCCATTCTGGGGTCTTTAAGTGTGTGAGCAGATAGATGTTTTCTGAGAGAAGTCGTTTCTGGCAAGGCTGACTGGTTCAAGCCAACAGCATGCATCAAGGAAGACTTAGTCTTACCTTTTCCTCAGATCCCACATTCCAGAAACTGGAATAGAGACATTGTAGGCTGGCAGTTAGCCAAGGTCACCACTGGCTTGGGTTCAAGCCTTAGCCTCTCAACTCCATGATGACATGGCCAAGACACTGATTTATTGTCTGCTGCTCAGAAACCAGCATCTTGCCCTACTCCAGTGGCTCATGCTCACTCAGCCTCTCTGTCTCTCTTCCTCCCTCTTTCTCTCTGTCTCTCCCTCTCTCTTTCTCTCTCTCTTGCTCCCTCCCTCTGTCTCTCTCTACTCCAGTGGCTCATGTTCACTCAGCCTCTCTCTCTCACACTACTCCAGTGGCTCTCTTCATTCAGGATCATTTTCTCAAATGTCTGACAAATCATCAAGGTAGAGCTGGGTGTTTCCTTCTTTAGCAATTCATTTCCAAAACCTATCATGTAAATGTTTCACTCTGGCTGACTTTTTATGACTGTTCTTCCAATGGACTTAATTCAAGACTTCCATCACTGTAACTATATGTACAGGTACTTTCTTTTGGGAAAGGTGGAATTTACCAGTATTAACCCTAGGAAAGTTTGTCAAGGCAACAGGAATCCAGTTGAGAGT